CCCGCAGCTCCTGGCCCAGCAGCGCTGGGCCTCTCTGCCACCTCGCCAAGCGCAGGGCAGAGCCCTGAACCCCCTACCCCGGCACCGTTGCCGCACCCGCCTGCAACAAGTAAGCCAGGATGTGCCACAGCTGCGCCGTCGCCTGACGCAGGGTTACAGGCAAACGCCGACCCCCCCGCGCTCCTGTTGTCGGAACGGCACAGCGTGCCTACAGACAACGCTCCGGGAGTTCCTCTCCCTGAGCCCGTTCCGAAAGCGACCCCTCGGCCGCCACTGTTTGTGGAAGTTTTCTGCGGCCTCGGTAGCCATCGAGAAAGGCTTCTCGAACGTCGCAGTGGATCACAAGACGAAGGCCAGAGGCCTCAAGGTCCTCCAGCTCGACCTCTGTACGCAGCTGGGTCGCAACCTGCTGAGGGCAGTGCTCTCACACCAAGATCTGAGATGGGTCCACTGGGCCCCGCCTTGCGGCACCTTTAGCAGAGCTAGAGAAATTCCCAGGCCAGGAGCGCCGGGCCCTTTGCGCAGCGAGTCGCGCCCGGCAGGCCTTAAAGGCCTCCGAGGAGCAGACGCAGCACGAGTTCGCAGCGCGAACAGCCTAGTCGCTTTCATGGCACAGTGTTGCCACTCTCTGTCGCAGCGCGGCGTCTGCTGGTCCATAGAAAATCCAGCCCGTAGCCTTCTTTGGAGGATGCCCTGCCTCAGAGAGGCCTTGCAGTCAGCTCACAGAGTGGAGTTTGACGCGTGCATGTTCGGAAGCATGCGCCGCAAGCGTACTGCAATCCTCTCCAATTTGGATTGGTTCTCTGGTCTAAGCAGGGACTGCGACGGAGGCCATAAACACCTGCCTTGGGGCAGAGCCTCAGTGGATGGTTCCACAGTGTGGTCCACTTCCCTAGAAAGCGCCTACACCACTCAGCTGAGCTCGGTCTGGGTCTCCCTGGCGGCAGACCAATGCGCAGCAGCACTCCAGGCAGCGCCTCTCAGTCGCAAGCGTCTGCGTCGTCTGCGCTACGAGCCAGACTTCAGTGACAAAGTCACTCTGCAAGGCCCCGCAGCGCGGTGCTTTCGAGGCTGGAAGACCCCCCAGAAGCTACCACAGTCGTGGACTTGCTTCCCAAAAGGCTCCAGGCTCATCCAGTGGATCGAAGCCTCGCAGAAGGCCATCATCGCCATCCCGCTGCAGCCTCTACACTGGGTGCGCAGAGCGCATCTCATAGATCACCCAGCCAGAGACATTGAGGCAGTGCCTCTATCTCTCAAGCGTGCCATCGCCGCCGAAGTGCACGAAGACACTGTCCTGCTGGCCAAGCGTCGCACGTTGGCATCGATGCATATATCGAGAACTTGCACAGAGTGCCAAGCCCTCGAGACCGGGGTACGTTCCTCCAATGACGCTCAGGTGAACAGTGTCACCAAGCCCAAGCAAACAGTAGCTTTAGCAAAGCTTCTCAATGAAATCGACTTCCCGGACAAGACCTTGGCACAGCAGGTGCGGGAAGGCTTTCCCCTGCTTGGCTGGATACAACCCAGTGGGTTGTGGCCAGTGCAGATTCTGCCTCCTTCTCTAGATGAGAAGTCGATTCTGGAAAACGCCCATAGCATAGGCATGCGCGGCGTCCGCAGCGCTCTACGCCCCTCACAGGAAGGGGTTTCGGACAGAGTCTGGGAAAGCACAATAGAAGAAGGCCAGCAGGGCTGGCTCTCTTTGGAGGATTTTTCTCCGGAAAGTCTGCACGAGACGATAGTATCGTCTCGCTTCGGTGTCGTGCAAAAGGGCAAGGTGCGCCCCATTGATCAATTTTAAGAGCAGCTTTATCAACAGCTGCTGCGGGACCACAGAGAAGGTCCAAGTCGATAGCATCGACGAGCTCCTTGCCGTGTGCCTCGAGTGGCTGCGCCAGGGTGTGCCCGCAGAGCGGGCCCACCGCATAGTAGGCAGGACCTGGGACCTCAAGAGTGCCTACAAGCAGCTTGCAGTGCAGGCCGCACACAAGAAATTCGCGTGCATCGTCATGGTGGACCCACAGAGTGGGAAGGTCAAAATCGCCCACCTACACAGCATGCCTTTCGGCGCAGTGGCTGCCGTGCACGCTTTCCTCCGTTGCAGCGAGGCGCTGAAGGCCATCGGCCGCGAAAAGCTTGCTCTGGTCATGACGAGCTTCTTCGACGACTTCACCGTTCTTACGCGCAGCGCGCATTCGAAGCTCGTCACGTTGGCAGTGTCCAACCTTTTTAACAAGCTGGGCTGGCAAGTGGCCACAGAGCCCAAGAAGAACGCCGACTTCAGCGAAGTCTTTGACGTGCTAGGCGTGCGAGTCGACTTGTCCAAGCAGCACCTTGGAGAAATCTCCGTGAGTAACAAGCCGACCCGTGCAGCAGAGCTGGGATTGGTCCTCAGCGAGGCCCTCGCGCGGGGCAGCATGTCCCCATTGGAAGCGCAGAGCCTGCGGGGCAGGCTCATCTTCGCTGAGCAGCAAGCCTGGGGTCGCAATACTCGCATGGCAGTGATCTGCGTAGGCGACGTCCTTGGGGACGGACCAGAGCAAGTCCCCCTCACCGAGCAGCAGTGCCAAGCCATGGCGTTCCTGCTGCAACGAGTAGTGCACGGTCCGCCCAGGACAGTGTCCATTCATGCGCGCAGGAAGGTGCATCTGTACATCGACGGGGCCTGCGAGTGGGAGACCCCGCGACTGGTGCCCAAGTGTGGCCTGGGAGCAGTGCTCATTGGAGAAGGCATCGCCTTCACCTGGGGGCTTCAGATCAGCAGCCAGGTTGCAGCCCAGTGGGCTGCCAGAGCACAGAAGCAGCAGCTGGTCTACGAGTGCGAGCTGTTGCCCTATTTGCTTAGCCTTCAATTGTGGGCCAAGCATATAGCAGGCAGTGACCTGTTCGTCTGGATAGACAACGACGCAGCGTACACAAGGCCTTCACACGCAAGGTAGAAGGTGCAGCGATAGTCTCGCAAGCGGTGGACTTTGAAGAGTCTCTGCAGTGCAGGGCTGCTTTCTTCCGAGTTCCGACAGACAGCAACATCGCTGATGGCCCCAGCAGAGACTGGTGGGAAGAGACCGAGAGGCTAGGCGCAGCGCGCCAATACCTGCCTCCCAACGCAGTGCCGTTGGCTTTGTCACTCGGCGCGGACCAGATGGGGGGTGAGTAAGGCTTCGAGTGCCTTCAAGGGGGGTGAACCAGTCGTTCGCCTTACCATCGACCAGCGGTCGAGTTTCGAATCGAGATGCCAGTGGCATCGTTTCGTCAGTGCCCTAAGATCGGGCCCGAACTGACCCCCCATGTCCGCTAGGAGAAAAAAGGGAGTGTTTTTGCACAGGGTTCCTCTGCAGCGCAGTTAGGGTTTCCCAAACGCGCGCTAACGGAAGTTTCGTTGGAAAATAAGCATCCATCATGCGTGCGTGAATGGGTTTTATTTTCCGCCGAAAGTGCAGACAAAGTTTGTCGAAAAAGGAAAACAGTGTTTTCACTTGTGTGTGAGTGACACTAGACATACTTTGCCGTGCAGCTTTCGGCTTGGAGTTGGATCTGTGATCCAAAAAGTTTTTGTCCCACCCACCACACCCTGTATAGTATGCGGGGTCCGGGACACCGCTTCGGCAGCAGAGCTGCCCGGAGCAGCGCTCCTATGTTCTCTCTCGCAGAGAGGCGTAAGCACAGAGTGCGCTCTTGTACATAGGCCGTAGGCCGTCAGACTACAGAGTAGCAACTTGTAGCTGCAGTGACCCAGTAGGTCAGAGAATGTTTCACCTTATCTTCCCGTGGTACGGGTTTTTCCCTGGTAGGGGGGGTGAACCAGTCGTTCGCCTTACCATCGACCAGCGGTCGAGTTTCGAATCGAGATGCCAGTGGCATCGTTTCGTCAGTGCCCTAAGATCGGGCCCGAACTGACCCCCCATGTCCGCTAGGAGAAAAAAGGGAGTGTTTTTGCACAGGGTTCCTCTGCAGCGCAGTTAGGGTTTCCCAAACGCGCGCTAACGGAAGTTTCGTTGGAAAATAATGGCTTCGATTTTGGACGCTTTCGGCTACGTCGATCTGTTCGGCACGGCAAGAAGACCACCTAGGGCTCTGGTGTCCTGGACGCGTGTGGCGCTGTCACGAGGCCCGTGGCTGTGCTCTCACCCGCAGCCTGGATGCCAACGAGCGCGCCTCCGACGAGGCGAAGGTGCAGGGACGGTCTCCTCGAAACCTGGAGCAGTGTTTGCAGGAGCTTCACAACCGCCAGGAGTGGCAATGAGGGACGCAAAACATGCTAACTGGGACGTCGCTCAGGAGATTCTGCAGGAATTCCGAAACCGGAGCTACCCCGAGCTCTGCGAGCAGCGGAGCTGATGTTCCAATGCTGCGATGCGCGCAAGACGGCTCGAGAGCGGCTTCCTCAGGTGCGAAACTAGCGCTGGGCGTGGCCGTACCAGCGCGGCCCGTTGCGGCCAGGAGTGCATCGCGTCCGGGGCAAGCTGCAGCTTTCATTTTCAAAGCTCGTTGACGTGAGTTCCGTGGACGAGTTGCAAGACCAGGCCGTGGATTTGCCGTGCAAGTGCAACTTATGGCCTACCTTTTTTGTTTGTTTATTCCATTATTTCGGCGGGATTTTGTGTATCCGCTGCAAATATTGCCGGGCAGCCGCTTTTTTGACTTGATTAGTTGGGCTAAAGATTGACCATGGCTACTTTTTGGGCTTTGCGCTTGATGGTTGTTTGCTTGTTCGGCAGCCGTTTCATGTTGAGCTCTGCGAGCGCCTCTTCGACAAGGCCTGCGGTTTCAATGTGGCTGCCGTGTTGGGCCAGGGGGTAGGCTTGGCGCTTTTCGAGGCCATGTGTGGAGCTTTTGAAGTTCCTCGAAGAGGCGCCGGCCGGGGCCGGGCAGAGAGTGCTTCGCAAGCAGTGCCAAGCAGCTCTTGCATGTTTCTTTTCGCAGAAATCTGAGTGTCCAAGTTGTTTTGTAGCCTTTGTTTGGTGAGTTTGGTAGTGATGTTGCACCGCATCTGAGCCATGTTCGCTCGCGTGCAATCCGGCGGTTTGATAGCGAAGATCGTCGGCGGGGTTGGCATCACTGCAAGTGGTGCTGCCGCGTGTTTTGGGGGCGGGCAGCTCCTGCTGCAGGCAGGTCAGTACTTGCGAGAAGCAGAAGACCGCCGCCGCTCAGTGGACCGCCTGGTCAAGTCGGCCTTCTTTGCCGAGCCTCCCATTGTGGAGATTCCCCGCAAAGCTACTGAGGCGGGGCGCGCGCTTGCAGTAGGCAGTCTTGTCTCCGCTGTTCATGAGTTGCTCGCGCCAGGCCCAGCTGCTGTCGATGCTGAGGGCCAAGGACCACAGCCCCATCCTCGTATGGGGGAACCACCAAGCCGGCAAAAGCCGGCTGTTGTGGAAAGTCCTTCACAGCATGTCCCTAGACCAGGGCGTGCTGCATCTGCATATGACGCGAGATGAAGACCGTGCAGAAACCATGCTCTGCACACATCTGGGTGTGCAGACTGACGTGGAAGCGATGGAGACGTTGCATCAGGCGGCCGCGGCCCTGGGCCGTCTGCCCGTGATCGTCGTGGAAGTCCCAAGGCAGATCAGAAACGAAGCTGCGCTTCAAAGCTGCTCCACGTTCGCAAAGAAGTTTGCATACGACGCGCAGCTGGCTGATGTCGTCGTTTTGGCAGGTGCAGCTGCAACTGCACTGGCTTTCGGCGCCGACTCGCGAGAGAAGCGAGTCTTTCTGGCACCACTGAGCGAGCAGGAGTGCCAGCAGCAGGAGGCGGGGGCCTTTTGCCGAGCGCGTTCCTTTGCTTGGCTCCCTGACCAGGTCCAGGAGTTCCTCAAGCACCACGGCGGAGACGCGGCTGTCGAGCACAAAGCTGACCTTCTGCAGCTCACGGGCGGCAATGTGGGCAAGCTCGAGGCCCTCGGAGTTAAGCGCGGTGCGTGTGCTTTGCGAAGCCTTTCCAGCCTCGCAGGAGGTCGCCAAGAAACTGAAGATCCAGACCTTCGAGCAGGTCCGGCAGGAAGCCATCGGCGAGCAGGACGGGTTTGTTTTGCGCCTCTGTCTTTGCGCAGTGCTTGTTGCCATGTGCCAGGGAAAGCAGATCCTGCGCTTCCTCGGCATCGACATGCAGGGCGGCTTCGGGCCAGAAAAGGTCAAGGCCGCGAAGGAGGTGGCCCGCCGGGACGCCCCGTTTCACCAGTGTGTGAGGGCCGAGGAGTTCGAGGCACGTTTCACCAGCAAGGACCTAGCACAGGCGGTGAAGGCACGAGGTGCCCACTGCATCTATGTCAAGGCCACCACTAAGGCGGAGGAGCGGTTTTGCGCTGCATCGCCATCCGTGCACGCGCTGCTCAAGCGGAAGACCAGGTGGTTGGGAATCTTCTGATGCAATTGAAGCCACGAAGAAGCCTTAGACTGGGGGATTGCGGTATTGATGATAGAAAGTTGAAGCAGCAGATCAAGCATTCCACCAGAGGGCGGCCGTGCAGCCTGCCAACAGCGCAGGGCCAGGAATTTGATGACAGAAAGTTGAGACATCCAGGGAGCATGAGCGTTTGAGTGCAAAAAAGGGGGAGCTGCCAGTCTTCCCAACGTACTTGTTCAGTCGATGTTGACTTCGCGCAGGCGGCGGGTTCAAAGTGCGGACCTCTGAGTGAAGAGCAAGTGTCCCGGCGAGAGTTGTATGTCTAAGGTAGCGCGCTAGGTGCGTTGTTTGCCGTGTGTTGGGGCGTTGGCCTCCTTGAAGCAAAGAACCATTTCGCCTTTCAGGGTGCTCATCTGCGTCTCCAACGGCGTCGGAGCTCGTCAGCTTTGGAACCTTGGTAGGAGGACTGCAATGGGTGGTTGAGTTTGGGGCTAAACTTTCCTTGTAACGTAAAGCCTGTTTCCAAAAGGGTTCTCAGACCAGTATCGGCCTGCGTGTTTTTGGTGTGGGCGTCACCTTGTAATGCGCTGCTGTGCAACCCCGATCTCAGGTCTGCTTCTTCGCCATCCTCAACAGGCCCCGCTTTGAAGTGCAGCGAGGTGAGGATATAGAGGTAGAGGTAGATCGAGGGAGCAGCGACGACGACGCAGCGGGGGGGACGCGGCGGGCGGTGAGCGGGTAAGCGACGACGGCGCGAAGACGATGCGGCGACGGCTCGGCGTGGCGGCGACGACGCGGCGGCTCGGGGTTGCTGGGGGGTCCTACAGGCCTCCACTCCGACGGCGACAGATCGGAGGCGGGGCGCGCCACGGATGAGCGAGCGACGACCGAGCGGCTTAAGGCGACGGGTGGCCGAGCCGCGAGTCGGCGGCGGGCTGCGACGGCGCAGCGACGGGGAGGCGACGAGGGCGAGCGGAGAACGGGCAACTGCCGGGTGTGCCCTCACAGGTCAGCCCCCTCGACGACACACGGTGAAGCGACGACGACGACGCGGCGAGGAGACGACGACGCGACGACGCGACGACGACACGGCGGGGTCTTCGGGAAGTGAGGGCACTCAGCGAGGGCACCTCCTCGTCGGGAAGTGAGGGCACCTAGTGAGGGCACCTAGAGGGCATTTTGGGGCGGGGAGTAAAGGCACCTAGTGAGGTCACCTCGGCTGGGAGTGAGCAGCGACGCAGCGACAATGACGTGACGACGACGCGACGACGACGCGGCGACGACGACGCGACGACACAATCGGGGGTTCACAATCGGGTTGACAATACAATCGGGTCGACAACTCGACGTGCGAAACCAGTGCAGCAGACACCTAGTGAGGGCATCTGGTGAGGGCACTTACTGAGGGCACCCAGTCAGGCCACCTTGTGAGGGCACCTACGCTGCACCCCTCGCAGTAGCTGCAACCCCAGAAACCCTCACGGTGGCTGCAGCCCCAGGCGCCCCTTGTCGCTGCAGGCCCACGCGCCTTCACAGTCGCTGCAGCTCCCCAGAGGCTATGGCAGACGCTGCAGCTCCCAGTCTTCCCTCCAGCCCTTCAGCTTCGCCGGTTCCGTTGGCCCTGAATGTTCTGCCTAAATGTTCTGCCGAGTGTTCTGCCCACATGTTCTGCCGAGTGTTCTGCCTAAATGTTCTGCCGAGTGTTCTGCCTAAATGTTCTGCCGAGTGTTCTGCCCGAGATTCTGCCGAAGTGTTCTGCCGAGGCGTCCTGCCCGAACCGACCTCTTTGCTTGGAGCTGATTCAAACGAAAGGCGACGACGCGACGACGACGCGACGACCGGCACGGGTGGTGAGGACGTGGGGGTGAGGACAGGATAGAGGAGCGAGCGACGACGGCGCGACGACCTGGCAGGGTGACGGCGCGCGTGCATTACCCCAACGGAACAAACTCAACGAATTGGTGGAATACATTACCCCAGAGCCGCGTTGCCCAGAGCCGCGTTAGGGCACCTGGTGAAAGGTGAGGGCATTTCGGCGGAGACCTCGGAGGGGAGTGAGGGGCAGCGACGACGGTGACGACGGCGGCACGACGACGACGCGACGACGAGCAACATCCAGCGCTGGTGCGACCGGCGCGGGTGGTGAGGACCGGGGGTGAGGATACCGGTGAGAACACCGGTGAGGACACCGGTGAGGATAGAGGCGGGGGGGGCGACGACGACGCGCGACGACGAGGCGACGACGAGGCTGGTGAGGACCACGGCTGGTGATGACCGCGGGTGGTGAGGACCCCGGGTGGTGAGGACCGCGGGTGGTGAGGACCGCGGGTGGTGAGGACCGCGGGTGAGGATACGGGTGAGGATGGAGGGGCGGCGACGACGAGGCGACGACGAGGCCACAAAGAGTAGCCACACAGAGTAGCCACAAAGAGTAGCCACAAAGAGTAGCCACAAAGAGTAGCCACAGAGTAGCCACAAAGAGTAGCCACAAAGAGTAGCCACACAGAGTAGCCACACAGAGTAGCCACACAGAATAGCCACAAAGAGTAGCCACACAGAGTAGCCACGCAGAGTAGCTACAAAGAGTAGCCACGCAGAGTAGCCACACAGATTAGCCACAAAGAGTAGCCACAAAAAGTAGCCACGCAGAGTAGCCACAAAGTGTCGCAGAGTAGCCACAAAGAGTGGCCACACAGAGTAGCCACAAAGAGCAGCCACAAAGAGTAGCCACACAGAGTAGCGACACAGAGTAGCCACAAAGAGTAGCCACGCAGAGTGCAGACGCAACCCGGAATGGCAAATGTTGCCACGCAAATGTTGCCACGCAATGTTGCCACGCAAATGTTGCCACGCAAATGTTGCCACGGAGCCGCGCGAAATTAGCGCCACGCAAATGTTGCCACGCAAATGTTGCCACGGAGCTGCGCCAAATGTTGCCACGCAAATGTTGCCACGGAGCCGCGCCAAATGTTGCCACGCAAATGTTGCCACGCAAATGTTCCCACGGAGCTGCGCCAAATGTTGCCACGCAAATGTTGCCACGCAAATGTTGCCACGCAAATGTTGCCACGCAAATGTTGCCACGTAGAGCCACACAGAGTAGCTACAAAGAGTAGCCAAAGAGTAGCCACGCAGAGTAGCTACAAAGAGTAGCCACGCAGAGTAGCCACACAGAGTAGCCACAAAGAGTAGCCACAAAAAGTAGCCACGCAGAGTAGCCACAAAGTGTCGCAGAGTAGCCACAAAGAGTAGCCACACAGAGTAGCCACACAGAGTAGCCACAAAGAGTAGCCACACAGAGTAGCCACGCAGAGTAGCCACACAGAGTAGCCACAAAGAGTAGCCACAAAGAGTAGCCACACAGAGTAACTCGCACAGCCCAGAAACTGCGAAAAAGCTGCAGCCTCTCTCTTATGAAGCGGGGTGTTGGGCCCACAATCGATCGTCTACAAGGGAGCTGATTCAAAAACGAAAGGGTGTTGAGCCTACAGCCTCGAACCAAAAACGAAAGATCGACAGGGCTCAGGGCCGTGGGACGCAACGATCTTCGGCCCTTTGGGCCCAAAATTGGGACGAGCCAATCGGAGCTCGACGATTGTGGACCCGAGCGGAGCGAACGAGCTCACGGAGCGAACGGAGCGAGCGAGCGAGCGAAGCGAGTCGAGTGAGCGGAGAGAGCGGAGTGAGGGAGTGAGAGAAGCGAGAAAGTCCACAATCGTCGAGCTCCGATTGCGAGGAAAATTTTGGGCCCAAAGGGCCGAAGATCGTTGCGTCCCACGGCCCTGAGCCCTGTCGATCTTTCGTTTTTGGTTCGAGGCTGTAGGCTCAACACCCTTTCGTTTTTGAATCAGCTCCCTTGTAGACGATCGATTGTGGGCCCAACACCCCGCTTCATAAGAGAGAGGTGGGGGGCAGTGAGAGCAAGAACGCTGGTCATTGTTCTGTCCCGTTGAGCAAGACCGAGAACAAGGGACGCATGGCCTTGCAGGTTCTGCAGCGGTTTTGGAAAGACTCTTGCTCTTTGGACTGGGGTTCCTCGTGTGGGAGTGTGCAGGGGTCTCCTTGCTGTTTTAAGTGTGAAGAATTCCACGCCCAGGCTTGGAGCTTTGTCGGTGGACTCTGTTGTCTGTTGGCGCTTGCGGGGGTTGGGATCAGTGTTTTCTGCACACTAGCGCGCGGGAACATGCAAGAACCAATCACGTTTGCGTGAGTTTCTGCTCATATGGTGATGCGCTGTGAGGTTGGAATTGGGTCATGCAGGGGACGCTTTTTCCGGCTTCGCCTCTGTGTTGGTCTGGTTCGGTTTAGCTTTGCCTGCTTCTGTGCCAATTGCAAGCCAAGCTTGGCATCTGTGGTGTTGGTTCCAGCTTGGGTCGTCTGCAGGTGCTGCTTCTCGCGGAACGGCATCTGCCCCGTAAATTGGAAGGTCTCTTCCCTCTGGTGAGGGTGAGTTCCTCCCCTTACCTGCAATAGGGACGAAGGCAGGCAGGGCAGCTTTTAGCTGAGATGAGCTCCTTCTTTAGGCATCCTCACGGCCTTCACCTGCCCCTTCCGTTTCACACCGACTCCCCCTGTTGAGCTCTGCTCCAGGAAGCCCAATTGTGGCGCGTTGTTCGCTTGGTCAGAAAGTTCATGTTTGAGACATGGCACTTTGGTTGTCCTGCATGCTTGCTCATGTGTGAGTCTTTGTAGCTTGTAGTTTTGCTTTGGAGGCTCAACTTGAGAGCTTGCTTTCAGTGGAAAGCCTTTTGAAGTGCTTGAAAGTGTAGGGTAGTGTTTTTCTTTGCTGATAGGAGTGACTGAGTAGTTGTAGTTCTGCTTGCGCTAGTTCTGAGCAGGTCCCGAGAACTCCCACTGATGTTTGAGTTTGTTTTGCTGTTGTGGAGAACACGTGGCTGAGCAGTGTTTCACTTGCAGTGCTATGGCACATGGAATATCTGTGGCCAAGTTGCACAGACAAAGCCTCCGGCTGCTGACTTTGGCTCAAGCCGCGAGAAAAAGAGGGTTCAGCGCGCTGCTGC